CATGTGAAACCTAAAACAAACAAACAAAAGACAAATGAACTTATTTACAAAAAACAGACTCACAGACATAGAAAACAAACTTATGGTTACGGGGGAAAAGGGGTGAGGAGGGATAAATTGGGAGTTCAGAATTTGAGGATACTATTATATATAAAATAGATAAACAAAAGGTCCTACTATATAGCACAGGGAACTATATTCAGTACCTTGTAATGGCCTATAATGAAAAAGAAATTGAGGTATATATATATGACATATGATATATATAGAGACATATATATATATATCATATATATATGAATCACTCTGCTGTACACCAGAAATTAACACAACATAATATCAACTATACAATAAAAAAAAGAATAAGAATGTTAGAGGACTCAAAAAAAAGAACTAATTGAACCTTGAGCATCCTTATTTGTTCAATCAGAAGAGAAGGGAGCATTTTCACTCCCCTTTTCAAACAATGTAAGGCATCTCTGGAGTAGGTGATGGGAAAAAAACAATCTATCCTACAGTTCATTGGGCCTGCTAAACAGACCTACCTATCTGCAGCTATTCTTCTATTTTATCAAGTTTACATGGGTAAAGAGTAGACTGTCTGCCCACTTGTTATTATAATATAGTAAAATAAATAATCATAAGCATTTCAAAATTATTTTAAATATTTTTCACATCAGAAGTAATCTGTTGCCAGAAAGACCTGTTACAACTTCACTATGAGATTCCCTTACACTCTGCTTAAACTCTTATTTAAAGGAGTCCTGTTACGTGCAGTACTGTCACACATATAACTGTTAAAAGTTTGGGGGAGAGGGAAAAAGCCCTTCAATCCTTCATTTCTCACTCAAGGTATGTATGGAAGTCTCAGGTGTCCATATTCCTTATGACAGTTCTTTTATATTACATGTAGAGAAGTAAGGTCTCCTGAAACTGTTGTCTACCAACCTGGGATATATTTCAACATAAGCCTAAATAATGAGAATTGAGAACTGCTTAACTGCAAAAGTATAGTCTATGAAATTATGGGACAAATATATAGCCTGTAGACTACTTGTTCAAATCTTTGAGTATTAACAAATAACATTTAAAAATACTAACAATGTGTACTTACACAGAGGAAGAAACATTGTGATATAAAGCTTACCAGTAGTTACCGTGACAATTTCTTCATCTGTGGAGCACTTCTTTCTTTTACTTGAGGTTCTGGAAGGAGCAGGCCTATGAAAATTCAGTTCTGACAATGAGTATTCCATCTCATTAAAGAGTATGTAAAATTAACCATTAGTTTTCTCATCTTGTTTTTCTGGCATAAAACTTCTTAGCCTTCAAGTGTTAGATCTATGAGAAGAAAATTATACTCTACATTTGTGAAAAATGTTTCTGTGTTTCTCTCAGAAGCTGCAATTCCATAATTTAAAATATATATACATTTATGAGAAGACTACAATTTTCTGGCCTTAAGTAATGTATTCAACTTTTAGAAGACTGTCATGAATTTCCCAATAAATGTAGTGGTTACTCTTCTTGATATATTTACATTATTTGAATGTGATTTAGTAATAAATGTGATGCTGACTACAGATCATATTTCTAGATTGACATGTTTCTTTTTAAGAATATTTTTTACTTTAGATACTCTTTCATGATTCATTCCTGCCACTTATCAATTTAAACATATAAAATTTTTTATTCTTTTGTGACATTTTCCATTTGGCCTTAGAAACTTATTTCATAGATCTGGGTGAATTTCTTCAAAATGTTCTGAATAGTCCATCACATGACTGATCATATTTAAAGCTTATAATCATTTCCCATTTAAATGAACACAGGAATTTTAACTTTTCTTGAAAAATTCTGAAGCCATTGCTCTACTTTTGCTTTTTTTTAACTTTTAAAAATACTACTTTATTTATACTCACATATGACAAAATGGCTGTACTACCATGTTTACATACATACATACTTTTGCTTTTTAAAATAAACTGAACAACTGTTTGAAAACTTGTTATTCACTTTATCACAAAGGTTTCTTGAGTTACCTTGTACACGCTTATTCTATTGCAATCAAACCTACATTTTTGGTAACTTGGTGATTCTTTTGAACTTCGGTTGATGTTTGTTTAACAAAAAGGAAAGATGAAGGACTCCTACTTTCCCTTTGGGGTAAATTTTGGTAAATGATTTTCTGAGAATACTTGCCAAGTGTTTCAATCATTTGCTAAACAATCACTTATTTAAATCATTTATCATACTTTAAAACGATAATCCTCCATGATATGCTTTAAATAAAACACTGTGGGTTTTTTTCCCTTATTTCCCTGTTTAACACATAAAATATTTTAAATGCAGTGATTTAAACGGATCATATGGTTTCTATGTTCTCAAACTCCGATCAATTATCTTTGAGTTATGTATACATGTTTAGCAGTGCACTAAGAACATAATAACTTTTCATTTTTAGTTTGAAATGATTGTTTTCATTGTCCTTAAGAGAACTGGTTAAATTTAATATTGAGATGCTTAGTCTTTTTTATTCCCACAAGATTTCCTTAATGCATTTACTAACCATGTGTCAGATCACTTTGTTAATATTTATTATAGTAAGTTGAATTGGTATTTTTTTCAAGTGCCTTCTTTCTTAGGTAAAGTATTTAAACTTCCTTAATAACATGTAATCTCATACATACTATATGTATTTCTTCAAACTTCTACTTCCCAACAATATCATTTTTGCTGTTAAAGTAGAATTGAATTTCTTTTTTCCTGTTTCTTTTTCAAATAGATATTTTTCTGATTTCACTGATATTTTTGTTTACTGTATTAAATGATTCTTAAAATATTTTCAAATAAAAGATTTTGTTGTCAAGCCTTTCCTGTTTTATATTTTCTTTTGAAACTGCTTTTCTAACATCCATCAAATACTTTTTCTTCCTAACTCTTTAATAAGTTAAAAATTCTGAAGTGTGGCCTGCTCTGAATCTGAAGATGCCTGATATAATTTAGTTCAGCACTGATTTCTCTTTTATTTGACCTGAAAGTATAAAATATCACCATAATTAAGCAGATGTTTTAAATCACTTTGTTATTCAATATTAAACCACTAATGTTATCATTAAAATTATTTTGAAAAATTCTAATAATTAGTAAAAAGATACGATTAGAAAAAATGTGCTAAAGAAAGTAGTAAGAAAACTAATCATAAATGAAGCTGCCTTATAAAATCTGATTCCATTAGCTTAATTTAGAAAAGTAACAATCAAAATCACTTCATCTATCAAATGGAAATAATGATAGTATTTACCTCACTAAGGATTACAAGAATTAAATAAGACAATGCATATAAAGTGCTTAGTACAGTATCTAGCACTCTAAAAGCTTAATAAATGCTAGCTGTGATCACTCTCCACGCCCTCCCCTATCTCCATCCCAGCTCAGTCCCAAATTGCTTCACTTCTGAAATTTTAACTCCTATATTCTATTCTTTGACCATAATATGCTTTTCTCTGATCATTATTTCAATTTTTACTAACTTAATAACACTATAATTTTAATTTTATTTCATTGATATTTCCAAACCCTTGACCTCCCAATTTCCCCCCAATTTATTACCACTCCTAGGCTTTACTCCCAGCCCTACTCCTTTCCCTGTCCAGCATAAGACCCTATAGTCCACAAGGTTAATTGCACTCTCTTAGGTTTTGTATCAGTTCTAGGATCTTAAGATAGAAAAATTTTGGGTTCCAATTCTGACTCTGTTACCTACTAGTTGTGAGAAATGAGCCTCTTTTGATATGATATGTATAATGATTCCTGTTAGAATTAAATTCAGTAACTTTTATAAAGCATTTACCATAGGGGCTGGCATATTAGACCTTCAATAAATCTTAGCTCCTTTTCTTATTCTTTTCAGGAATTATTCCAAAATTCCAGCTCTTTATTCAAACTCTCATTTAATTCCTTCCTCCCACTAGCCCAGCAGATGATATAATTTCCTATTTCACAGAGCAAATTGGAACCATTAGGCCAAAACTCCTATAATTTCCTCCATATCACTTATAAATTAATCTGTATTAGTATTCATCTTTATCTCATTCTTTCCATGCTCAGTGCAAGAATCCCTCTTCTATCTGTAGTTTAAGGTTCCAACTGGGCTCAGAAACCATTAATCATCACTTTTCCTTCTGTACGACTCCTTCTCCACTCCCCTATTGATCTCTTCCCTTAACATGTAACCATACTATTCAAAAGGTTCTTCCATCTTCAAGACAAAAAAACCCTTTATTATTCTTCATAGCCAATAATCTTGGAAGAGTCATTCACTCTCACCATCTCTGCTTACTCACTTCCCAACTCACTTTAATATTACTTCTGACCATATGATACTTTCAAAGCTGGTCTCACTAAGGTCAACACTGATCTCTATATTACCATGGCCAATGGATGCATTCCTGCAGTAATGAATGACACTGTTGACCCTTCCATCACTCTAGTAATCCTTCTCTTCTTTGGCTTCTATGCCATAATTTTCCTCAGGTCTCCAGTTTTTGCTTTAGCCTTCTTATTAGTCTCATCTTCTAATGCTCTTTCCCAAATGTCATAGTTCCCTAAGACTCTATTTTAAATCTCTGTGTTTTTTCTCAGATTAGTTGGGTGATCCATCTGAAGCTATGGCTTAAACTATACTTTTATGTTGAAGACTTATTAAACTTTCTTTCCAGTCTAGATATCTAGTACAAGCTCCAGAACATTTTACTCAACTATTACAACGTTCCTCCTAAGTATTCCATAAACACCTCAAATTCAATATACCAAAAACTAAACTCAAATTTTACAAGACACATCTTGTGCAGTAATAAGCAACCATCTCCCACATGATTACCAAGGCTTTTGACAATCCAGGTTCTTTATCTGAGCACAGAAAACTATTTAAGTGACTTTTTTCTCAAATTTTCCAAAGACCAATACAAAATTAGTACTATTTCAGATGCACAGGAAATTAATTCATTGCATATAATAGATACCTTAAGGCACAAGGGCTTAATTCTCTCATAGAACTCCACTGAAATAGGTGATCATTTACCTTGTATATCTATGTACCAAATTATGTAGGTTTTACCTGTTATCTCTGGTATCCTCCACTCCTCCTCACACTTTTCTTAGTTTATGCTCTCATGGTTTTCCATTGGACTACTACAATAGCCTAGAAATCTACTTTGGCCTAAATCTAATTCTCTAATTTGATTTCCTGACACTTTCCCTTAGGCTCATTATGTGACAGCCATATATTATGCTATGTGTACCTACCTGAATATGATGCATTCTCCTGAGCTGAATTCTCTACCTTTGTTGTTTCCTCTCTGACCCTCTTCATCAAGTTAGTGTTTTTCTCTATATTACACAAGCAAATGATGAGTACACATTCTTTATAAAGGATTCACACAACACAAAAGTATACGAAGTAAAAGGTTAAGTATTCCTTTATCTTGCCCTTTCTTCCAAATTACACACACATGCAGACACACATGAACACGCACACACACCTTCCCTCTTCACAGATAACTATTATTAACAGTCTGGTTTGTATCCTTCCAGACTAAATTCTACTTATTCATCAACTGTTAAGGTTAAGTACATTTCCTTATGAAGCTCTCTCTCTCATAGGGTGAATTAACTCCTCCTATTTGCTTCTATAAAACTTTGCATTTTCCTTGATCTGAGTATCATAATATATTTTATTTATTTAAATTTCTGTTTATACCCAGACTGAATTGTAAAATCCTGAGAGTAGGGCTTTCTTTTTAATCTTTAAGTTCCCCAGTTTGTCATAGTGCTTCATACATTTTTGCTGAAGGTTAAATTACACTGTCTTTGTTCTCATTATGGACTAGTGGGGAGACATAAATAATTCTACGGGAAAGAGTAGGTTGTTAAGTAATCAGGTTAGCAATATCTTCTAGGTAATGTATGATTCCTATAAGTGTGAACAGAAGTAGACTAGAAGATGTGGGAATGTGTTTCACAAGTAGAGTGACACCGCAATCAAAAATTAATGTACACTTAAAAGTTTAAAAAGAGCTGCTTAAGTCTTACTACACATTATTACATTAACAAATAAATCTTTTAGTATTTTTATAAGCTAGAGGCTTAACATTACTCTAGCTATAATCTCTAATTATTATTTCTAGATTACAGAGAAAGAAATGAAGGCTTAATGAAGGTATCAGATATCATCAGTGCCCTCCTCATATACCTCCGGCCCACCACGGAGGCTACCTGCAGCTTCAGTGCCAATTCCCATTAAGGCCATGCTAGTGGCTTCCTATCTCAAGCATTTGTCTGTCTGCCTGAAGGCTTCCTCTAGAAGCAGGCACATGCTACTCAAGAGAAGGCTGTCAAGGGAAGTACCAGAAAGTTAATGATCCCAAAAGTAACCCTCAACAACCCAGGCAAGGGAATTAGTAGATAAATGTCCCAATTTCCTGTCCCTCATTGGGACCATTCTGAGTTCTACTCTCTATAGTCTCTCAGAAGACTGCCAGTAGAATTCAGCTCCAGTTGCCCTTAGTTATCATTAAAATACTTTTCTTTTTTTTCCCCGGCTTTCCTCCATTCCCTCACCACGCTTTCTAAATGAAGTTTTCTACCCCAATCCTTGTTTCAGGGTCTTAGCTGTGGGGGAACCCAACTTAAGATAAAGAAGTTGCTTAAAGTCATATACAACAAATAAACAGTAAGCTTAGGTCCATCCAATTCTATATAACCTATACTATTGTATTTATATCATCTAACTTGTTTTGAACTTTCTTTTTCCTATTCATCAGGCACATTACATACGCTCACAATTAAATTTATATGTGGCATAAACTCAGAAAAGAGTGGGGACACAGAGGTTCAAGAGTATAATACTAGTTTTGAATACATATTCTTGACTGAATAAAATGAACTACATTTTGGAAAACGTATTTGATGGATTACTATAACGAAATATATAGTCGAGGAGAATCAGTTCCTTTTTTCATTTTCTGTGCTATATAGGCATATCCTGTTTTATTGTGCTTCACAGATACCGAATTTTTTTTTAACAAATTGAAGGTTTGTGGCAACCCTGTATTGTAAGATGATGGATAGCATTTTTAGCAAAAAACGACTTTTTAACTAAGGCATGCACTGTTTTCTTACGCATAATGCACTTTACAGACTACAGCAGTATAGTATAAACATAACTTAAAGAGCACTGGGAAACCAAAAAATTTGTGTGACCCACTTTATTGCCATATTTGCTTTTACTGGGCTGGTCTAGAACTGAACCTCATGTGTCTCCTAGGTATATACCTATGGTGCTCTGTAAGGTTCAGCAAATCTTAATTTCGGAATAGAGCAACCTTTTTGGTTCCGAGTTAGCATTTCCTTCATTCTTTTAAGAAGATTCATTTCTTTCCCTTACAAACAGGGCATGGGCGGGAATCCTCACTGCAAACCAGAGGAGTCAGTTAAAGCACAGGCTCTTTCAGGAAGTCTAGGTCAGAGAAGGAAGTCGACTCCAAAATTCTAAAGCCCAACAGGTGCCAAAGAAAAGGAGCAAAGGAAAATGAAGGCAAAAATGGGTGCCAGGTCGCCAACTCACACCTGCAGTAGGAGACTCCACTGAAGCCGCCAACTTCCACAGGAGCGAGATGCGGAGGCATTTTTTTCAGAGGGTTTGACGCTTGCTGGAGTGGCAGAAAAAGAGAAAGAGAGATCTGCTTGGGCAAGCGAGGAGCAGGAATATCTACGACACCCACGGCCAACGCAGTAGGCTCCGCGCAGCCGCCACCCGGAGGCGCCTCCGCCCCTGACCGGAAGCCGAAGCCGGAAGTTAGAGCCTCGTGGGCGGAAAGCGGGGTCCAGCGGGCGGCGCCAAGCCGGGCCCTGAGGGCGGGAAACCTCGGACTGGGAGGTAGGAAGCTGGAACCTCCTTCAGAATGGTTGGCTTAAGGTGGCACCAGCCCCTGGTCTGATGTTCTGTGAGGGAAGTGTGCTTCCAGGCGGCTCCTTCGAGTTCATTTCCCTTCCGCAGTCCCCGTTCTGGCTTTTGATTCTTTTGAGGTAGCTCACTGCTGCAACCTTCCGAACCCCAATGGTGCGTCAAGCCCTTCGGAGTCCCTGTCCTGGGAGCTTCGTCCCCCCACCTCCTCCACTCCATCCCACTACACTCCACTCGTATCTATTATCTCTCCTCATTCATCTCCCAACCCTCTATCCCCGACACCCCCAACCCCCTCGTGGCGGCGAGAATGAAGAGCCCTAAACTGGGTCTCCCCAGAGCACGCAGTATATTTTAGTAACTTTACTGTTAGTATTTAATTCAACAGCATGTAGTAGATTTATTTGGCATTATGTTTCTGAAAGAAATTGAAGGTCATAAGTTTGATTTGGGTTTTTACCAACTTCGGCTTATTAATTTCAGTAATTTTTTTCAACCAACATGTGGCGCTGAGCATCTGTGTATCAAATCCTGTGGAAATGAAGCATATTTTTTGTTGCCCAGGAGCATCCAAGATAGGTAAAAATATTGGATTCAGAATATCGATACTTAAGATATCTTAAGTTCAATGAGAATTTATTAAACATCTATTATGTAGTAAGCTCTGTGCTAGGTATTGGTCCTAGGAGATTGAATCAATCTTTGTCTTAAGAGATCTAAGCTTACAGTTTCGGTGGAGGATAGGGACAGAGCACAAAACAATTATCTTTAGAAATATAAGATGAATACTGCTAAGTGCTGTTAACACAGATCCAGAACAAATGGGAGTACAGGAGACTGAGAACTGAGTTACATGTCTAGAGGGAACTGGTAAAGCTTTGTAGATGGAGGTAACTTGTGAAGTATGCCCTGGAAGAGGAGGGGTTATGTTTACAAGTGGAGATCTGGCTTAAGGTTTGTACTTTCTAATAGATCTCACTCAATGGCTTTGCTCCAATTTCTCTTGCTTTCCAGTCCATTTTGCCTTCTACTCACCCACCCAGCTCTTGTTCTGTTTTCTTGGAAGTAGCCGGGCCAGGTTATGTAATTTACAAATGCTAAATTACCTCATTAAAATAATTATTTCTGCATAGATAGCACTTGAAAGATTTTTCTTCTTTTAAGAATTTGTTTTAGCCAAGTCAACAAAGCACAGTTCCTGTGGCCCATCTCCTAGAACACAAAAATAGCCTTACTATGTAGAAACAGATGTTTAAAATGGTATTCATTAAAATGAGATTCCACCTGTAATAGAAAACAGAAAGTGGATGCAGAAGAAATGTAAGCTGGCAGTGCTTGCTATTGCCTTCCATTTCCTTAGGAACTTATATTTGTGGGTAAAATCTTGCCAATTGGAATATGTTTCTGGCTTTAGTCTGTAGCGATATGGGTTACTAGTAATATTGAAAAACAATCACACTAGCTCATTATGAGGGTAGCAGTTATGAGAAAAAAAAACTAAAAAACTACCTCTAAGATTAGTGCCTTCTTTCCAATGAACAAAGTTATCTTGGGCAGAAAATTAATGATTGTCCTATACTAGTAACAGAAATGAACATCTATTAGTTACCTTCAGTGTCATGTGCTTTACTCTACATTTTTACAAGACCCTCTGAAGGAGATATTTTCCTTACTTTGATAGATGAGGAAATTGAGAGTGAGCAATATATTACATAACTTGCCCAAAGTCACAGCTGCTTTGGAATCCAAGACTCCCAGATTCCTAAGCCAACTTACTTTCCTCACTATTTCACATTGTCTTTAGAGCAATAGAGGCACGTAGAAGTTAAAAACCCTACCCTATCAAGTGGAGTAACTGCAATGTAAATCCAGGTCTGTCTGGTTTTAAAGTCTATGCCTGTGTACTTCTATACATTTTGGGCTTTTGTTTCCAAGTTTATTTAGCCCCATTTATGGCATGGAGGAAAAATAGATACATAGTGAAATAGGCAGTGTTCTAAGTTATAATTAGAAAGCCCAGGCTGGGACTTAGTAACTGTAAACAGTTAGAAAAACATTACATAGACTGGTGAAAATACATGAATTATTTTGAATATATGTAAAATGCAGATAAACTTCTTTGTTACTTCTTTTGTTTTTAATGGGGGGAGGTAATTTTGGTTTGTTTGTTTATTTATTTATTTATTTATTTATTTATTTATTTATTTAACAAAGGTACTAGGAATTGAACCCAAGACTTTGTGCATGCTCGGCATGCATCCTAACACTGTTTGATACTACTTTTATTCATATTCTTTCATTCATTAATCCAATAAATTTTATTGATCTCTTACTTTGTATGAGACATAGAATCAGTCAGACCAAAGTCCCTGTGTATTCATGGAGTTACATTCTGGTTGGAGATGCAGACAATAAGCAAGATAAATATAAATCAGTAAAATATGTTGCATGTTAGATGTTAAGTGTTAAATGGAATAGTGAAGGAGTGAATGCGGATAGGATGTATGTAGTAGGGACTGCTATATTTTTAGGTAGGGTGACCAAGGAGAACCTCACTGAAGGATATAGGAGAAAGAGCCAAGCCAGTATCTGTGGGAAGTGCATTCCAAGAGGTGGAGTATGAAGTGCAGAGAGCCTAAGGCCAGTGTTGCAGGAATAGAATATGAGAGAGGTAGGTAGTAAGATGAGGTTGGAGTAATAGAGGGATTCAGATCATGAACGGCCCTGTGGGTCATAATAAGGACTTTGACTTTTATTCTGAATGAGATGGAAACTGTTGAAGGATATGGAACTGATGAGTAGCCTGATTTGCCTCATGTTTTGCTGTAGTTGTAAAATACACATACTGTAAAATTTACCATCTTACCCATTTTCAAACGTACAGTTCAGTACTATTAAATACATTCACATTGTTCTGTAGCTATCACCATCATGCATCCCCATGGCTCTTTTTATCTTGTGAAATGGAAACTCTATACCTATTAAACAATAACTTCCCATTCTCCTCTCCCCTTATGTCCTGCCAACAGCTATTACACTTTATTTCTTTATGATTTTGATAAGTACCTCATATAAATAGAATCATATAGTAGTTCCCTTTTTGTGACAGGCTTATTTCATCTGGCATAATGTCTCCAAGGTTTATCCATGTTGCAGCATGTTACAGAATTTCCTTCCTTTTTAATGCTGTCTAATATTCCATTCATTCCATTGTATGTATATACCACATTCTCTTTATCTATTCATATCTTCATAAACATGTAGGTTGTTCCTGTATCTTGGCTATTGAGAAAAATGACGCATGAACATTGATATACAAATATCTGTTTGAGACCCTTCTTTCAGTTCTTTTGGGTTTACACAGAAGTGGAATTGCTAAATCATATGGTAATTCTATTTTTAATTTTTTGGTGACCATACTGTTTCCCACAGTGGCTGTGCCATTTTCTGTTCCCACCAACAATGCACAAGGGTACCAATTTCTCCACATCCATACCAACACCTGTTTTCTGGTTGTGTTTTTTTTTTTTTAATTAGCCATCCTATTGGTCTGAGAAAGTGTCTCTTATAATTTTGATTTGCATTTCCCTAATGATCAGTGATGTTGAGATCTTATATGTTTATTTGTCATTTGTTTATCTTCTTTGGAGAAATGTCTTTTAATGATTTTTGCCCATTTTTGAACTGGATCTCTTGGTTTTTTGTTGTTGAATTTAAGGAGTTCTCTATTCTGAGTATAAACCCTTTATCAGATATATGATTTGCAAATATTTTCTCCCATTTTGTGGGTTGCTTTTTTACTCTGTGGATAGTGTCCTTTGATGTACGAAAAAGGGTTTGATGTCCAAAAGGACTGGTATTAATTCTTCTTTAAATGTTTGCTGGAATTCATCAGTAGAGCCAGCAGGTCCTGGGCTTTTCTTCATTGGGAGATTTTTTTTTTTATTACAGATACAATATCCTTCCTAGTTACAAGTCTATTCAGATTTTCTATTACTATATGATTTAGTCTTCGTAGGTTGTGTTTCTAGGAACTTGTCCATTTCATCTAGGTTATCCAAGTTTGGGGCATACAATTTTTTATAGTACTCTTTTATAATCTTTTTATTTCTATAGAATCAGTAATAATGCCCCCACTTTCATTTTGGATTTTTAGTAATTTGAGTCTTCTCTTTTTTTTCTTAGTCCATCTACCTAAAGATTTGTCAGTTTTGTTGATCTTTTTGAAGAATCAGTCTTGGTGTTATTGATTTCTTTATTGTTTTTATAGTCTCTATTTTGTTTATCTCTACTCTCATCTTTATTATTTCCTTCATTCAGCTAGTTTTGGGTTTGGTTTGTTCTTTTTCTAATTTCTTAAGTTTTAAAGTTAGGTTGTTGATTTCAGATCTATCTTGTTTTACAATGTAAGTATTTACAGCTATAAATTTCCTGCTGAGTACTGCTTTCTCTGCATCTGATAAGTTTCAATATGTTGTGATTTTGTTTTCATTTGTCTCTAAGTATTTTCTAATTACTTTGTGATCTCTTTGATCCACTGATTATAGAAAAGTGTGTTGTTTGATTTACACAATTTTGTGAATTTTTCAGTTTTTTTATGTTACTGATTTTAACTTCATGCTATTGAGCAGAGAAAATACTTTGTATGATGGCTGTCTTTTAAAATCTGTTGAGATTTTGTGGACTTAACATATAGTCAATGCTGGAAGATGTTTTATGTGTACTTGAGAAGAATTGGTATGCTAATTAATGTGTAGAATGTTCTGTATATGTTAGATCTAGTTGATTTATTGTGTTGGTTATGTCCTCTATTTCCTTACTTAACTTCTGTCTAGTTGTTATACCCATTATTGTGAGAGAA